ATTTTAGGTCTCAAACTATTTGATGAAGCTACTGAGAAAATCAGGTTAATTAGAGACAGATTGAAAGTTGCTTAGAATCGACAGCAGAAATACTACGACCCAAAGCACAAAACAATTGAATTTAAAGTTGGAAATTTTGTATTTTTTAAAGCCAAGCCAATGAAAGGGACAACTAGATTTGGTCAAGAAAGCAAGATGTCCCAAGTATATTGGTCATTTTGAAATTATAGAAATGATCGGTCCAGTTGCCTACAGATTAGCGTTGCCTACAGATATGTTAGATATACACTGTGTTTTATATTTTTATGTTAAGAAAATGGGATTCAAATTTGGAGCAAAAAATTTCACATGAAAATATTGAATCACATGAAATTAAATGGTATGAATCCCTCTCTTTCGTCATTTTAGGCTTTTATTTTCTTCCTCGTCTTTTTATTTTAACTTTTGCCTCGCTTTTGATGCAAATATTGTTTTCGGTAGCTGTTAAAGGAGTTGATTGTGTGTCGGGAGCGTCAAAGGTCCTTTACAAGCTTCCATAAGGGTTCTAGCATGAAATCAATGTAGAGGTGTGGTTGGAGGAGATAGAAAAAAAAATTAGGCAGTTTCGGATGGACCGGTTATGCCAAAAAGCTCTTTTGAGATATATTATGGCAAATAAAGTGTTTTTTTAGGTTAATTCATGTTTTAAACCAAAATTTATGAAATCCTATGTTGTCTACGAGCATCAGGTTGTCTTTACCAGACAACGAGCTTGAGAAGAGCTTGTGGACACTCGTCATAGAGCTATTCCGTCAAATCAGGTAAAATAATCATGTGTTAACTTAAGAAAAATAATTTTTATAGGTTCTCATATGATTTTTATTTTGAAACCGATGCACTTAGAACGTCCTGCATATCGTAAATGGATACTTGCAATTGAATGTATGAATGGACGTTTATTTTTCTTATGATATATGTAATGTTATGATCAGACTATGCTAAATATGACTATCCATATGATATGAATTTTTCACAGGTATTCATTTGTTATGTTTCTTGTATATATTTATGATATATGTATAGCCTGATAAATGTTTGATGCATGAGTGATGATTTAAATATCACAAGTAATGTTATGGGTAGACTATTACATGAGTACTTGCAAGTACATTACGTAAGGATGTGGTATTTCTAACTCCTGATATTTATATGAAGACAAAACTCTAGGAACCATAAGCATTAGGTGATGACAGAATGTTAGAAAACCGTGGGCATCAAGGGGGTTGTCGATAACTGCTATGTTGGGGAGGCTCAACCCTTATTGATAGTTTATATGGTCTTTGGAACAGGGAGACGACTCATGATGAAATGACATGAAAATAGTTGAACCCTATAAATTAAAGAAGCGATATTATTATGATATGACCTATATGAAATAACATTGCTATGATAATATACTATGATCATGTTTCTTATTGTACTTATGATTTCATGCGTGTAACATACATGTTACACTGCAGTCTTGATTTTTATACTACGTATATCTGCTCTCTTTTCATATTCTTTATTGTACTAGCATGTTATGATTTATTGTGGACATATAGTTTCATACGAGCACGCACGTTTCTTTTTCATATATAAAATCTTATATTAGCACTGATTATTTCTCTGAGCTTGTTGTTGCTCATTCTTGTTGCATTCCAAATAGGGGCAATGAGCATCGAGGCGAGTAGTCAGGTATATTTTTGTACAGCTTTATCATGATAGTTATAGGAGCTTATACATATGTTTTGGGTACATATTTTTTTATTATATTGGATTTAGCAAACTCTATACAATTTTCATGTTCCGAATGAAATGATTTTTAGGATTCTGAGTATGTATATGAATGAAATATGACAAGAGGCTTTCCATTGTCAGGAACCAGCTGCTCAGAATGACCGGAAAGTTAGAGTGAGAATCTTGATCTTAATTGTATAATACTTTTAGATGTCAAGGGTTTGAGAAAAAAAAAATGTTGAATTCTAAATAAGCTCGATGCATTTTCCCTTTGCTTTCATTCCATCAAATAATAATCTTACAATCTATTTTTCTATTTTAGGTACAATCTATTTTAGGTACAAAATATTTTGTATAATCTATTTTAAGTAACTTGATAATACAAATTCCTAATCTAAATATTCAGCTAAAAGGGAAATAAATCAAAATAAAGATATTGGAAATAAGGAAGTTCATAATTATAGAAAACTCCTAATTTAACTGTCTGTTTTATGTCCTTCCTGATTGACATCCCCCCTCAAATTGATGCTGACTAATCAGGAAGCATCAATTTGCCAACAAGAAACTGATAACACTGTCGGGACCAAAAATCTTCAAGCTGTGAGTGTTAAAGTCGAAAGTGTCGAACCGAGAATGTCGAAACCTAAGAGTGTCGAAGCCTGAGAGTGTCGAAGCCGAGAATGTCAAAGCCTGAGAGTGTCGAAGCCTGAGAGTACCGAAGCCTTGATCAAGAAAGGAGTGTCGAAGCCGAAGTTGAAGCGGACGTAATGAAGCGTAAGAAGCAATCGAAGATGCCACAGAAGCAGTGATGGCTAGTGAAGAAGATCCAAAGCTGGCGAAGTGAACGAGATCGCAGATTGTGGAAGAGACTTGAATCGCATATGAGATAACAAACGGACAGGATTACAGATCGCAGCTGGAATCAAACACGGTAGACGGAACCAGACGCAGGAGACGGAACCAGACGAATTGAAGACGGACGAAACAGTGATAGGGGACAAAAATCCTTAGATGGGCAAATCAATGCAAAGAAATAGCCCTCCCTTCCCACAAGAAAGTCGGCGAAAAGGGAGTCTTGATGGTCCTCCAATAACTACCGGTGGTTAGGAAAAAATTTTGGCCCTGATACCATATCAAAGTTTTAAGATAAATAGGTTAAATTCTGAATAGGCTCGATGCATTTTCCCTTTGCTTTCATTCCATTAAATAATAATCTTACAATCTATTTTAAGTACAAAATATTTTGTATAATCTATTTTTGATAACTTAATAATACATATTCTTAATCGTAATATTCAGCTAAAAGGGAAATAAATCAAAATAAAGATATTGAAAATAAGGAAGCTCCTAATTATAGAAAACTCCTAATTTAGCTACCTGTTTTCCGTCCTTGATTGACATTAGATATCTCCAGTAACTGATTACCAGATTTTGTGTGATAAGATAATATACCCCAAGCAATTATGTATGGTTTTTTTTTGCTTTATTTTGACGCTTTCAACTATATTCATGATTTTGATCACTAACATATTATGTTTTTATGACTGTGTGTTGAAAACTTTGCTTGATAGAAAAAAAACATCTCTACAAATTGAAGTGTTGTAACAAGTCTGATATACATTTAATTTGGAACTTGAAGCTAAATGCATGCTTTTGTATTTTTTGTTCGCAACATTTTTTATTAGTCAATGTTTTACTTCAAATATTCATTTAGTAAATGTATTATCATAGAATTTAGCACTTGTTAACAGCGTACAAAGTGCACAGAGCTACTTCCAATACAAACATGCAATTTTTGGAGAAGGGTTCATGAAGGTTTGCTAGAAGGTAATTTCCACGACTTAATCAAGGACATCAAAATTATAAAAATGGCAACTTACAAAATTAGCATTTATCTAACATTTGCAATTAGAATTATCAGATATTTAATCTTGATGAATGTACAGCTTAGCTGGTCTATCAAGCATGTGTTAGAATACATTTTCTCCGACAATCTCCCTAATTTTATCTTAAGAAATTTGGAAATGGTGCATGCATGAACGGAACATAAAAGAACTGATATTACAAATTTGATTGCTCATGACTCCCAAAGGAATTAATGAGTTATGCTGATTGGAATATTACTTTGCAAAAACTTATGGCAAAAAAGAAATATAAAGCTTAATTTAAGGCAACCGAAGCAAAAAAAAAATCAATTAAATGAACAAATTTTATTTCAAAAAATCTGTGATAGCTGCACTTCTTTCCAAACCGCCAGAATAGAATCAAAGCCTTTTGTCCAAATATCACAGAAAACAACAAATACAAACTTTCTTCCCTGACTTCTTACTGGCCAGTTTTTGAAGCACAATATTGAGAAACTAACTGCATGTGATTCTTCAATCAAAAATTTCAATCTCATTATTATCAGGCAATCCTGCTAATGAATAAAAGACACGATTAGAAGAGACTTGACATTAACATGCCCATGCACCAAACTCACTTTATTGCAGCTTTTTCATAATTGTTCACTTTAGTGTATAAGCAACACAATAGGTTGTACGGCACATCCAATACTGAGGATAAAAGGAAAACAGATGAGATACGTATCAAAAAAAAAAAAAAAAGTAAAATCAGGGAATTGAAACGTGGGTGATGGAAAAGTAAAAGATGGTTTGGTGAGGTACAAAAAAAGGAGTATAAATAAAGGGAGATAAAAAGGAAGAAAAGAAATGGCAGGAGAAAAAAGGTATTTACAAAGCAAAATGGAAAATGGCGCAAAATGATCTCCAGATAATAAATACCTATGATTGCCTCTAAAATATTAACAAAACAAATCCCAAATAGTTTGATTTATGCTTTCATAATGATAAATTTGCATTCATAATAATTTGTATGCTTGGCCGAATCTATTATTGAGATGTGTTAACAATTTCGAACCAAAATGAAATACTGCATGTTCTATATATATCATAAAACAAATTTGTAGCAAATAGTTACATCTCATAGCTATAAACTTAAATGTTAGTTTTATCCACAATTTTGAACATTTTTCAAGCACCAGAAAACTGAAAGAAGAATTATGCAACCACAATAAGTTAAATTTTAGGTTTATCAGCACTTTTGCAAATCAAAAATTAAATTAAGGACATAGATGTTGAACATGCAAGTAGTGCATGACTACATGATTCATGCAAAGATGAGTAAAATTTATACTTTATAAAAAGGAAAATTTCAAATAAATAATCTCAGATGAAAAGTACCTGATGTGGATCAAAGCCGTCAGTCTCAGAAACCTTTAGAAAGGTTGCAAGGCAAATAAGCTGCAGAACATAAACTTAAATGGTTTATGGTTAGAAGTCCTAAATAGTGGAACTATAAATTTTCAAACAGTTTGCAAGCAAACGGAAGCAGAACCGGAAAATACCGTCATTAATTGTTGACTAAAACAATTTCAGAAAAAAAGAAATTTGTTTTAACATGTTTGGAATAAAACATGAGATCAATACCAAACTTAAATCTCTGCAGAACAATTTACAAGTTCATCCTTTGACCACCAACCATTTTCTGCGATTTATTTGATTAGAAGATTAGAGGTAAATTGCCATTTACAACAGTTATCAAAATAAAACATCTATCCCACTTGAGAAAAAAAGAATAAATTAGAAAATTCTAACATTTTTTTTAACAGTGTTTGCTTATTTAAAATTTGACTTCGAAGATTATAAAGTCTTTTTACTCGATCCATTTAGGATTATCATTTACCTAGAAGATATAATAGCCTAAACAAGTACAGTTCTCTTCAGCCTAACCAAAAAATAAGGTAAGCATTGCTAATATTTATGCATTAAAGATTTCTGAGAATGGATATATAACGGATAACAGCTTAAGCTAAACCTTCAAGATTACAAAACATTATAAGTAATGATAATTTAGATATATATTTTGTGTCAAATACAATAAAGTAAAATATGGAAAATTGAAGAAATCATTTAGAAAATCATAATCCTATCTGGATTGAGTAATTTAGAAGTCATTTAGGAAATGATAATTCTAACATTTTTTTTAACAGTGTTTCTCTTATTTCAATTTGAACTAGTTCAATAACTAATTATTGAACCTTTGGTGATAACAATAGTCATCATGCTCTTAGTTGAATGTACTTGTAATGGCTTTAATAGCATGTGCAGTATATGCCAACAGTCAATGTTGCAAGGAGTTACAAAAACAAAACACTCGTGCAACAGTTTTGATGTTTATAATGTCCAAACTTTCCCAAGCATTGACATAATAAGACACCAAACATAACCTGTGACTTTCTATCCATCTGCACAGCAGATACGTGGAAAATGTCTACTTTATAAACTTTATTTTATGATAGAATTTTATTTTATTACAGATACTTTAGTTATTTTATGTACTTCAAATTTTATAATTTTATTAAGAGTGCGGTACTCCAAGTGATTAAGTTTGTTAGTGATTTGTTATGTGTTTGTGAGTAATTTATCAGTAATTTATTAGTTGTAAGTGAATTTGTGTGAGTCAAATTTGCTATAATCTAAGTTTATGTCAATTGCATGGAATTTCAATCAAGAACAAGACTGACTTGATCCTTTAATTCTAGTTGCAACTTCAAATGGAAAGCCATAAAATTTTCATCTAAATTGGATTAATTGTGTTTTACAATTTCCATCAAAGATAGTCCAATAGTTGAATGAATTAATAGCTTGTGAGCAGTGTCCTGTAACTTTTTTTTTTTTTTTTTTGTATCTGTTATATTAATTTAGCATCACATGGAACTCTAAATTAGAGACTCTAAAATCTCAGATGTTCTACCAGAAAAGTAACAAAACAACCTTTTTCTAATCTACTTGTACCTGCTCAAGTAGCACAAAATCTACGTGAACTTTTGACTCTTAATTACAGCAATTAACTAACTAGTAGGCCATAGAGCACTGAAGAAAAGTAATAAGATTTTCTCATATTGTGAAAAAAAGCCTTATTAATAGAGTATTCCATAGTTCAATTACGCATTGCAAAATGACACTGACCTTCACCAGTGTTGTTACAAGATAGACGACCAGAGCTTTCACTGACGTTCCAATAGTGTCATACTCCGACCTATACAATGATTCAACCAATCAGGATACATAGTTGTGCAATTAAAAGATAATTCAGATACAATAAGACCATAAAACTTCTTAAAATCAGGAACTAAATAGAAGAGACCAGTAAAAATATACCGCTCGGTTGAAAATATGCATAAACAAAACATCGATGGATCCAAAAGTAAAAGAAAAGCCTAGTATTGAAAATAGAACTTAGTGAAAATACCTTGTTCATTCTCATGACTCACAAAAAATTAATAGTTTCATTTCATGCTATGCATAACACACTCAAATGGAGGTGGGTTGTAAATTTCAACAGGAAAGGATGATAGTTCAACGAGGATATCACAATAGTAATAAAAATCAACTTGTCAAAATTGGTCAAGCCACCTAACCAAGAGTAGCGGGCTCAACGAGATGAAAAGAACTGACCAACTTAATGTTTTCTAGATAATTAGGCACTAAGCACTCAAACCAGCTGCTTCACAAACAATAAAAGGCCCATTATAAGTTGAAACTGGTCAACTCCTGGTCTGCTAATGGCACTGAGTTTTTGAAGATTGAGACTACCAAATTGGAATTATTTTGGCCCCACATAGGAGTTGATAATTTTTTTCAGCATGAAACTCATGATTTCTTTTGGCCTCCTGTAATATCCCAAATTTTCAAAAACGTAGCAAGCTAATTTTTTTCCAAAATTTCAATTTTTTTAACTAAAACTATTTTCCTGAGGAGTTGAATTAATTTTATTGTAGCAATTCAAAACTTTTCCACATATTCTTGCATGTAATAGCGCATGCCATGTGGATGGATACAGAATATTATTAGGATATTCATTTGCAATTATAATTAGTAATATTATTATCATTACAAATCTAAGTAGCCATTCATCCGCATTCCTTCCAGTAGCAAGCATGAGGGGAAACCAGGAGCAAAGGGCTGGGTAGCCTGACGTAGGAATGAAGAAGGAAAAAAGAGAAAAAAAGCATATAAGAAAGAGTAGGAAAGATAAGGTTTGAAGGTAGAAATCCGTGGGTTCCTCTATGAATCAAATATAATTTCTGTAATAGATAGAAGAGTAGAATTAGGAGAAATGTTTATGAGATAAAGAAGTTAATTTTCGAGTTAATAACCTAGGAATTTGTATTTAATTGATAAATATGTTTATAATATTTTGTTTGCAAAATTACAATATTTCAGGGAAATAAACATATGGAAAACCATCTTAAAAAAAAAAATCCTACAATTATGGTTCTAAAGCATAAAGCAAAAAATTTGTAGATCTAATATTTATAGGATTCCCCATATTGAACACGTCATTAACATATAATAGTAATAGTAAATTTACTACAATTTTTATACAATCATTTGTTTAAAGTAATTGCATGATATTTATATCACTCAACTCTTAAGATTGTATAATAATATAACACATATTAAAAATATCAAATTTAGACATTTTTCCATCTTCTTTTTTCTTGGTATACGCTGATGTGGGGTAATTGATAATAGATGAATAAAATACTAGGATTTTTTAAAATATTATTATCATAAAGGATGTTAAACAGAAACAAAGTTTACGAAAAGTTAAATTAACCGTAAAAAAAGCTCGTCATTTGCGAACGGTTCATGTTAGTCTCGTTAAGTAGCACATGTTCGATTCGTTCGTTAAGCAAATGAGTCAAACAAAGGTTTTTTCGTTCATGTTCAGCTCGTTTGGCTCAAAATAATTGAATAATTAAAAAATAATATTTATTTATATTAACTTTATGTTGTATTTAAAAAATACAAAATTTGGTTGTTTTTAAAAAATTATTTGGGTGACATAGCTATAAAAAAGTATAATTTTAGGTTTCAAATATGTAAATACATAGACTTCGGTTGATATCTACGTAAATGCTTCTAAAATCGTCCCGCCATCGGCAGGTCCCGCCCCCTGCCACTTAAAAAGTATAATTTTAGGCGTTAGATATGTAAATAAATAGGATTTAGCTGGTATACAATGTATATAAATGCTCCATAGCTCCTAAATTATCTGCAATATCGCAGTCGTGTTGGGTATCCCACGAGGCTGTGATGTGATACTACTTATTAGTCCTGCATTGTGATTTTTAAAATGAGAAGTGCTCTTTAAAATCAAAAACTTAGCATACCATACCAAAAAAAAAATTCAGAACGGTCTGAAGCGTGGAGATAGAACTATTTGTATTTTAATTATAATGATGTTTATTAAAATTAAGTATGTTATAAGTTTAATGAGATTAATTTAATAAATTAAACTAGCATTTTGTAAGTAGTTGTCGCTTGAATTTAGCTGAAGCCGTATATGAGCTAGTTTAAATAAATTAGAGTCGAATATGTTATTCTCGAGCTATTCCGAACGCGAGTCAAATTCAGACAAAAAAAAAATTGAAGGAGATAAACATGAACAAGCCCTAGGCTAGCTTAAGCTCGGCTTGTTTGTAGGCCTAATTGTCGGAATGATAATGCCCTATATAAAAAAAAGGTAAAAAAAATGAGATGAACTTCAACAGAAACTAAAAAGGGTTCTCAGCTTTCAATTCCGAGAAGTTACTATGCAACAGTCATGCCCTTAATTGAGGAGAAAACAAAAGAGACTTTCGAGTCTCAATTCTCTAAGTTGGTACAATACAGCCCATTTTTAAATTGATAGCTAATTGATGACTTTCATGTTAGATTAAATCATAGTATTATTAGTGGCCATTATAATTAATGAGCTAAGTGATAACCAAAGATTATGAATAGGCCAAAACCTATACAAACATCATATAACATCTCCAAAACAATGAAAGAAAAAACTAAGAGAAAATTCAAAAAGAGAAATAAGCAATTTTATATCAATAATTGATTGTCATAATGCATTAAATGCTTGACATTTAAATGATGCATTTTCTTTCACTGTAAATAAATACACTTACTGTATATGATTGCCTTCCATTCATTAAAAGAGTTTCACATTATAAATTTTTTCTCCTATTTTGAATCATGTATTAGAACCATTTATCCAATTGATCTTTTAGCTCATCATATATTATATTGATTTTTACTTAGGTAAAATAAAAGAGAGTCATAATTAGTTAATTCTATCCTGCTTCGTAGAGTTTTGATATACAAATTTGGATATATGTTAATCATGCATAATGTAAACTAAAAACCACTCCTAGTACATATATGCATACTTCCTACAAATAACTATGATAGAAAAGTGTAATCATGTTCTGTGATGATCTTAATAGACTAGTTTTTACTCTTTCGATCCTAATTAGTAAAGTCAAAATAAATGTTGATTGGAAATGTGTCTAACAGAATTATTTGTCCTTATCACATCCCGTGCTTGACTGAGAGCGGATCTAAAATGGGTATTGACCATAAATTAGCAATACAAAAAAGGTTTCAGTTAAAAATTATGAAAAAACGCATAATGGGATTTAGGACTGAAATAGGATATGATTGAATCTACATGTAATTACTATAAAGCAATAGTACAATCTGATTAGGGGTAGTCAATCTAGTAGAGTTGAGAAGTACTCTATGCATAATAGAATCATCATATAATAATTTGCATTGAATAATAAAGTTTTATTTACAAATTAGCAAACATGAAAAAATGCCAAAGAGAAGAAATGATCAAACATCCAGACCAAACATAGAAACAAGAATACAAGCAAAAGATAAATTTAATAGAAATAAAGCTCAAAATAGAACAATTGAGAAGACAAGGAATTATATGATAGCATGTATTTGATATCTCTCCGACCACCCTTAGTGGGATAAAGGCTTATTGTTGTTGTTGTTGTTGTTGTTGTTGTGTTTGTATGTATTTGATATCTCTGATGGTTGATAAAATGGCATATATTTAAAAGTCATTGAGCCAAAATTTGTAATTGGTAATAAAATAAGATTAACACTTAATTACATTTTAGACATTTAAACCATCAACATTCCAAGGGACAAGTAAGTCAATTGTTCCCACACACCGGTTACTAAAGATAGGAAAAACTTTGAAACATATGATTCGCTATGACAAAAAAAAGTGTCGTGCTTGTTTTGTGTTAGAAAAAGTTGAAAAAATGGTGGCAAGCACAATACCATAAGCAATGGTTGAGTAGGATGGTTTTGTAGAAGTGTTCAAGGTTTAAAATTGTGCAATTGAGTTTGAGTCATTTTTCGTTCGCGGGGCGAGGTGTGAGTTTCAATGTGTTTTGAGGTGTAAGCCTAAAATTTAAAAAATTATGTAAATTAATAAATAGTATATAAACTATAAAGTGCGTAGTAATAAATCACATGTTAATATTTTAACTTATTAACACAAAGAAAAGTAATATAACAACATTCTAATTAAATAAAATAATAAATTGTCTAAAGTTAGAAATAACACATTAATATACTACTATCAAATTATGAAATAAGATGAATTATATAAACATTAAACTATGAAAGTAAATTAATGTATCAAAATAAAATACTAAAATATCAAAATGAATTTAACATAAGTCTCTCTCCAACTCATATTGCCCCCCACTTAAACAAAAAATATAACAAGTCATCAACATTTTAATTTTAAACAAAGTTCTTATTACTCACATCACCGAATGAATGAAATCGACAGCATTCCTATAAAGGCCAAATCCTTGAGAGTGAAACTGCCTAACCAAAAGCAATTAAGTCAAGGCGTCTTTAGGAATTGCTTATATGATACCTTTCCAATAAAATGAAATTTTTTCGACATTACATTATTGAAATGAAGAGATCAGATAATAACAATAGCATCTATAACCCAAGTTAAAAATAATAACATAGTGAAAAAATAGTCGAATCAAATTTATATAAAAAAAGGTTTTACAAGTATATCTACAAGTTGATTTGTACACAAATAAATCCCAAAATAATGCCCAACTTTTTATATATGATATATAATGAAATGGTGCAAATTTTTATTATTTTGTGATGAGTGTTTTATTGGATTTTATGCTAGGCAAATAATAATACCAG